ATAAATTTCACTACATCTGTGAGGAAAATAAGAGAAGGAAAAGTATCAGTCCAATATAAAACATGACTATACAGAAATTAAATCAATTAATTGATGTGTACAGGAAGATGCCTTGCAACTCACACTGTAAGAAGAAAAAAGAGGAAAAAAAATATTAGCAACTAAAAGGAATTACAGTTCTGTGATCACTGATTTTTTTATTTTGTCAACAGCATTGTCCTTTGATCACCAAGCTTGCATATGTCTTTATACCCTCTTGTGGCTGACACAAGGCAGCGTTAATTACAAATACACTACCAATTTGAAAGGAATGAACAAATACAGAAAAATAATTTTAAATTCCCACGTAGTTATTTCAAAAGCTTAATGGTTTGACCACTCTTTTTAGTACCAGGTACTTTATGAGCCTGGTCTGAATAATTCATTGACTAGAAAATGGCAAAAATCCACAGAGCATCACATGTTCAGGGGAAAAACCCAAAACAGTGTTAAATAGTGACCAGACTGCTAGGTTTTGGGGGTTTTTTATTAGGTGTTTCAGTCCAAATTCAAAATAGCATCATAAAGTTTCACTGAATTCAAAGCATTCACAGCCTGTGCCTAAAGTTTAGTAGGTCTTTCCACTCTTTTTTTAAATATAGCCAGACTGTAAAAAAAAAAAAAAAAAAAAACACCAAAAAGATAAAAACAAAAAGACCACACAGCAAAAAAAAAAACCAAAACAAAAAACCCCAAACAAAACAAAAAACAAACAAACAAAAACCCACCAAAAACACAAACAGAACAAAACAACAGAAATACAATGCTGTTAGAGATTTTGGCAATTTGTTTCATGAGTACCAGGCTCATTAGCCCAGTAAGTTAAGACAATACCATCTGCATTTCTAAAACGAAATTTCCTCAACTGTTTTCATTATCTAGATTGAAGTACAACCAAGCAAAGAAACAACATAAGTAGAGAAATAACTTTTTAACTTTCCCATGAAACTATTATTTTTTAATCACGATTCCAGTTAGTTAACTTGATCAAGTCAATTGTAAAGTAATGACAGAACAGATTAATGGCTTTAGTGAATGATCTGCTGAAAAGTCAAGTATGACAAATGCTGGGGCAAATGAGGTCCCTCACTTTGAAGAAAGTGATCTTCAGCCTCCTTTACAAAAACCATCTCTGTCAGTTCCACTAATGCTTTCTTCTTGGAACCTACATGAGAAACAAAGAGATATTTGCTAATTTACTTTGGATTAATGGCTTGGATCTGTAGGCAAGAGTAGATAAGGAGATCAACTCAAATAATTCCAGTTGTAAAAGCAGAAATCAAATTCTATTTGTATTAAAATAACAAAGTCTGGTGTTAGCATTGAAATGTCATTATGTAATATTCTATTTCAGTATTGTGCAAATCAGGTATTAATATAGACTGATTTATGTATATGAAGTATATGTACACACGCTATCATATGCAAGCTTACATATTTGTGTGTACAAACATATATATACACATGCTATAATCTGTTTAAGAGAAAGAAGCAGAAAAGTCTAAAGAGCCTTTTCTTATTGTTATGGATAGTAAAGGCATTAACCAGATGTTGAAACTCAGAGGCATCAAACAGCAGTGATCATTATAGTCTTCAATCACCCCATTTAGAATTTACAATAAGCTAAGCAGAAAACCATTATTTCCACCTTCAATATAAAGTTTTCCTCTGGCTGAAAACAGAGTTCTGCAATGGACTGATGCACCATCTGTTCTAACTTCAGAACCCTTTTCCATGAAACTTCCAGCAAGGGGAACAAGCTATTGATGAGACCCTGGAATATAAGGACATCATTAGTGAATGTCATAATAAGATTAAAATCCCTTGAGGGCTCTCATCAAAACCAAGATTAAAAAGAAACAAAAAAACCCAGAGAAAATACTGACATTATAGTAACAAACCATAATATAAGGCATAAAATTAACAAACATTATGAATTAATCATACTTAGACAATTACAATCCATATGGCTAGTTAAACTCAATCTGCTACCTGTAGTGGCATAGTCTGGATACTGTATATTCAATGCCAGTGCATTTCTCCTAGGATGTAATTACTTAATTTTGTGAATGAGAAAATGATGTATAAAAGCCAGTGTTTCCATGGATTCAATGCCCCAAGTCAGATAAAATGTATGAATGCTTATCAAATCTCATGACACTTTTTAACCCTATTTCATTGCACTCATGTTACCCTTAGGTATGCAAGAACAGTGAATCACCTTCACACTCACTACTAAAGTTAATACAAGAAACAAATTGTGTTAAAAGTCTAATTTTCTGCAAACACAATTCCTAGGATTTAGATGATAACAAATGGCAAAAGATTGATTCAAGCAGTAGTTCTTGAGATTTTTCATCACACACATTTGGATTCTGAGAGTAACCACTTCCTCCTTACTGTTCCACTTATATTCAGACAGGAGATTCAATCTCTCAGGGGACTTGGCACTGAGATTCGGGTTCACTTTCCTCTTTTTCCATGTAGAGCACTTCACATCTGATGATATAGAATTCAAAGATGTGGGAAGTTGCAACTCCTCAGAAAAACCCCAAACCAAACCAACAAAACACCAGACCAAGCCAACTCTAGTATTTTAGTCCTTTCCTAATTCTATAAGGAATTTCAAGCTAGTGCTTGGTTCTTCCTCATACCAAGCTCTGGAGCCCAGCCTGGTCTTCTACAACATCTGGAAGATTCTCCTAAAACAGTTTATATCCTGCATAAGCAAATCAGTTGGGCAATATAACAATATACTTCATCACTTGTTCTCTGAACAGATCTGAATTTAAAAAAAAAAATGAATATTTTAATTAATGACAGACATATAAAAAAAAGGAGTTGTGTATATGGAAGAAGAACAATAGATACCTCAGGACTATCTCAAGATTTATTCCGTTCAATTTTTCAGATCAGGCTGCTAGAAGGAGGAAAGACAGTATTCTTGTATCATAGAATCACATGCCTACCAGAGAACTGATTTTGGAGGGAGGAGAAGAAATAGTTATTAAAAATAGGTGGGACTATTGAACGAAAATGAAGCATTTTATGAAATTGTGAGGATTTATGTGCTCATAGGTCCAGAAATTATCATTTGCACTTTCCTCTTTAAGTATCCACAAAGTAATATCAAAGCCCAACACAGGTCTATAAGCTTCAGCTTTACTTCAGTCTGTTTGTTTCAAGAACAACAATCACAACAAAGACATTTAATTACTTTGAGACCCTGGCCATAGAAATCCAAATTACCTTGCATCTTTAAGTGAAAGTGCAAAAAAAAATGCAATGAATGTTTGAAATAAACAGAAATTTGTTAATCCCAGCATTTTATTACTTCACTTCTCAATCTGATGCAATCAGATACATCATACATACATACAAAACATTTCTGGATTGGGATTCTTTGGTTTCCAGTGGACAAGTACAAAGAAATTAAGCACTTTGAATTTCCCAATCTCTGACTGGCAGGCTTTATTTAGAAAATATGTACTTTCTTTGGGTCCATAATCTCATTTATCTTCATTATTTCTGACATGGGGCACCTACTACATTGTGAAATTCCAGACAGATAATTTGACTTCCTTAATAGTCATTATGAGGTGCTCCAAATCTATTTAAAACTAACAGAGTGGTTTCATAAGCAAACTAATTCCAAAGGCAGCACAGAATGTTTTAGAACACAAATGGAGCTTTCTCACTGTCCAAGAGGAGAGTCTGGGTCCTGGCAACTCTGACCAGTAAATGTTTTTCTTATTCAATAATACATACTTAATTAAAGAAACCAAAGGGCACTCTAGTCAGTCTCGTGGAATTATTATTGCACATTTTGAATGGTTGCAATCATTCAGCTTTCAGCCATATGCTTTATAATACCTTGTTAGGAGCACTATACTCACCATGAAATCCTGTACTTGTCATGACTTATTGCTTCATTAAAATAATGTAATCAAAAACCTCACAGAACAAATGTTGACTGGAAAAATTATGCTAATCTTACACATATCTACTATTCACATATTACTTTTAGCAGAATAAGTTGACTAATGTGTTAATAAAATGAAACATACCCAACTATCTTGTCAAATGCTATTTTTATCTCAGCATTTACATACATTTGTCATGAAGGGGGTACATTCTGAGTAAAAGGAATAAACACTGTTATGATTAAACATGTCTGACATAATGTTCTCATCTGAGCATCAGGCAATGCCACATGCATAGGAAACTTGCACTCGTGCAGTCATAAAGCCAATGGCTTCATATCCAAATCAAATTTACAGAGAGCAGGACAGCTTTAGCAAGAAGATGCATCTGATTAGATTTGTTCTGAATTTGGCCCTGAGCACTCAGATTAAAAATGTGACACAAAGCTTGAACCAAGTATAGCCTGGTAAGATTCAACTCTGCATTTCACTGAGACCAGAAGAATTTTTGTACTGAAGGAAGAAACAGAAGAATCTTCTCACTGTCCGCAGCTACTTCAGAAGGTTATCAGTGTCAGGAAGCAAGGGAGACCCAGTCCCCCCCACACTTGAGAGACATGTTTGACTCTGCACCAGGAAGGACTTAAAGTATTGCACTTAAAAAAACAGTTACGAAAAAAGGGAGGAACAGAAAGGAGTAAGGAGAGGGACTGGAGAAGTGGTGCCATTTCTTGCTTTGGAAAAGGCCAGGTAAATCTATATAATTATGCACCCAAGCTCTCTCAGAAAGGACAGGTCTTTTAGCAGCCTTCTTTCCTCTACTCTCTGAAGGTACTGGAAAGAGATAATCAAGACCTGAGCTTACACAGGAGTGTACACTAATGACTTGCCTGCTTTCTCTCTTAGTGCTGCTGGCATTCAAGTACAATGTCAAGAGTATTTCTCACATTCTTACTCCTGAATATGCTGGGAATCCTCTATAGTCCATTTCTAATGAATACTGCCCTGCCCCCCAAATTCTTTAGTATGCTTGCCTAGCAGCAGCATTACCAAGAAGTTTAATTTTTTCCTCCAGCACCATGTAGATATAATAAAATATGCAGAGATACATTAACTTTCTCATGAGTCTCTTTGAATTTGTGGCTCTTCTGATGTCAACACTACTTCACACAAAAGTCTGAAATCATCATTGTATAAGCTCTGCAGGGAAAAAAGAAGATATGAACACAGGGTTGTACTGGCACCATCCACTTACTATGTTGTTAATGATAAAAATTTGTGCCTAATCCATAGATCAGTCAACACATCAGTGGCAAATTAATAAAATATCTATAAGCAATAGGAATGTTTTATAGCAGTCTTTGGACTTGGACAATTTCAGACTTAAAAATGCACAGGAAACAAATTGTTAATACTAGCAATAAACAAGATAAGATTAAGAGAACCCCATTAGTAGTTCACAGATCAATAAACATTTTCTTGCCTGAGATTAAAAAACCATAAATGTTTCAGAATTTGATAAGCACAAAAGACTGATTTTATACCAAACAATTTCCACAAAAGGAGGTCTATATGCTTTCTTAGAATGATGATTCAATAAAATGAGAAAGGTCTTGAAACCTTTTAATTTAGCATATACACACAGGAAAATTTGTGGTAAATCTCTCCTAGGATAGTCAGAAAAAAACCTCTAATAAACCAGCAATGCTTTACTATTTTATACCATCTTTCACCTATATTTTTCAGACACTGTTGGGGGAAGAAAATATCCAGGGCTTTTTTAAGTTAAAAAATTTACCTTTGCCACACAATCTCATATAGCTTAACTTCTTAATTATTTTAGCTCCCGCACAGTCTTCTGTGGCCTGTTTTGCAATGGAATATGACATTATATCTTCAACTTTTTATTATCTCAGATCTATCTACCAAGTTGCCTTCATGTCGGTTTCTTGACCTTCAGCTCTAGTCTTTAGCTGTTTCATATTGGGAGTACCTTAAGGGCCAGTGCTATAATCCATTAAAAAAAATGGGGGGAGAGAAGAAGAGAGGTTTCTGTATCCACCAAAAAAGAGTTTTGATATTTTCTGGAAGACATGTTTTTTCTTTTTGTTTCCCCCCTTTTTCCCCCTGGATTTACTACTATGAAAACCTGCCATTTCCAATTCAGCAGTCTCCCTCAAAAAAATCAAAAAAAGGTTACTGTGCCATAGGATACCACAAAAATAAGCTTGAGAAACCATTTTATTGCTAATTTAACTTTATTCTTTGGCCAAACTCCATCCTGCAGTGTCTCAACTCAAAGTACCACAACAGAAAGCAAATCTGCAGAGATGCAACCGAGTTCATAAAAGCATTCCTATACTCCAGTTTGCCATAAACCTTTACAGATACTTCAAACTAGCAATACTGAAAGAGAAAAAGAGACAGCTGCAGTGGTGAGGGCCCAGAACAATAAGATAGACATTTCTGTGGAATGTTTTAAACATAGTTCATTTGATTCATAAAGATTTCAGGAAGCACTATAGGCACTTTTGTTGGTACATATGTTAGAAGGATAACCCTGTCAGCAGAAAAACTCCAGTGGCACATCTCATCTTTTCTGATCAATGATAGACAAAGGGATGCTTTTTCATTCACTGAGGTGAAAAGTGAGAAGTCTACCTTTCCAAAGAGGGCTTCACTGTGTCATTCAAGGGACTTATTTACTTTGGAAACAGGCTATTCTAGAGAGATTGGAAAGTAGCCTGCCCTTATGAGGCTAACCCCCAGAGATCCACACAAGCATAGAATCCTAGAAACATTTAGTTTGGAAAAGACCCTTGATGGCTATTACATATAGTATATTGAAATATGCTAGACAAGTGGACCTGATCACAGGAGAGCACACAATAGGAGAGACTAAAGGTATGGTGTTATATACAATTCTACCCTTGCCTGCAGATCTTTCTTTACATAATTAATTTGGGAATGTATACTCTTAATTTATATATCCACTGTTGCTGATGAGATTTTGTATGTTGTCTTACTGTAAAAAGGGAGTTGTATTTTTTCTGAATTTAAGACAATGTAATTATTGATTTCCCTGTTTTTCTGCTCTTGATGTAAGTCATGACAACATTAGAACTGGGTTGATAGGTGATGATTTACCTTGTTTTACTGTTTTCATTTCAAAAATTCTTGAACAAAATTAAACAACTCTCTTGATGGACTATTATGTGTTTTTCTTAGCAGAAGGGATTAACTGTTTTAATTTTTAAATTATGAAGTCCCACATTCATTAAATAAAAATGCAGAGCAAATTTAAGCAGTGAACCTGTAGTCATATATAGAAATTAGAGTGAATATATGGTAAATAAATTTTTCAGCACTAGAAGTATACAGAGGCATAAGACACTACTAAATGAAGTGAGATGAAACAGCAGGACCATGATCTTGTTTTGGGCTCCTCAGTATAAAAAAGAGATGGAGCTATTGGATGGAACAAATCCAGTGAAGTCAATGTGTTACTCCTCTGCTCTTGTTCCTGATGTTAATGACACCTGGCCAGCTCACACCAGGTGTACTTTAGGGGTTTTTCTTGCTTTAGAATAAAGTCCCTTCTCCAGTTGATTTATATAATTAACAGAATGCTAGCTAATGCCCAGCTCTTGAAGAATGCATATCTATGAGTTATTCTGCCCAAACATTTTCTTCCTTTCTCCTGATGACATCTGATCAACAAGATACTCAAGTATTTGCAGGGCCAGTCTACTGACTCTAGAAGGTAAAAAACTACAACTGATTTAGCAAACTCAGGTGGAGTCTGTTGCATAAAACAATGAATGTCAAGAAAGAAAATATATATTATGGTCATCTTACCTTTTACTTTGACAAAACTTTAAAGCACAGTATAACTTGGAAGTAGAGAACATCTCTTTCATCACTGTGGAATAGCAATATTTAATCTCAAAAGGGAGGTTTCTGAACCAAAGTGTGCTGCTACAGTCCAATTTTATTACTTCACTATCAAAGGATACCAACTGTGTTTCCTGAACGCTGTTGTCATTGGCTTCACATTTCTTGTTACACTGAATAAATAAAATCAAGAGAAAACAAAATTTTAAACCATCATACATATATAGAACATGATTTCTGTGTGCTTCTGTCTCACTTTTCTGGTTGTTTAGCTTGAGAAACAGAGCAAAAAAGATAAAGGCTATTGAGATATGTCAACCTCTATGACTCGAAACAAATTTTTTTTTCTATCACAGTCTACTCTTTCCTATGGTTTGTTATTTTAGATGATGAATTTGGAGTAACAATTATGACTGACACTGTAGTAAGCAGTAAAATAACAGTGAGAAGATTCTCCTCAATTTCTTCTTTCTATACAAAAAATTCTTCTGGTCTCAGTGAAATACAGTGTTCAATCCTACCAGGCTATACTTGGTTCAAGCTTTGTGTTACATTTTTAATCTGAGTTCTCAGGCCCAAATTTACTACAGAATTACTCTAGTAAGATTGATTTCACACAAGTACAGTCAACATTTCTGTGATTTCTGCAGAAAAATACTTTCATCAACTAAAAAATATTATGTCAGCCAAAATCACACAATACCTATTCTTTGTGTCTAGGACTTACTGTGCCTACCATGTCTGCAAATTTTACCTATGGGGAAAAAAGAAGACAAATCAGAAATTACTACTGAAAGACAAAGTAGCACTAGGGAAGGGTGAGTAGCCTTCACCTTTGATCTTCTAGCTCATATACCCCAGCAGGAAACATGAAGGGTACCTGAGGAAAGCCTGACACACTCTTCTAGTTTGAACCCAAAGAGAGCACCACAACAGCTACTCACGGAGCATGTGTCATTCCAAAATACATGGTTTCCTCAAAAAAGCAATAAATTACCCTGGTTGAATTTGTAAGGTTTTTGATGATTTGGTTGGTTGTTCAGTTTTTGGGGTTTTTTTACCCTAAGCTGTTATTTCCCAGAGTCAAGCATGTAAAACTGAACATAGGCAATCAGAACAGTATAATTTTTATTGTGATGCTCTGTGAGTAAATTCCATCATGTGCACATCTTCTTTCATTTGATGTTTCCATAATTGCATCCATAGGCCTGTTTCCCCAACTCTCCAACCACAAAACTATCTTACCTTGAAACAGCTTATGCCAGTACTACCTCAAAAAATAAAGTAGGAATTTCTTCTGTTTTCTTATAATAGGTAAATGCTCTTGAAGAACTCTCACGTATGCCTCTCTTTTCATTTCGCCTCACCAAATTTTTCTGGCCTCAATCAAGGCAGATTTCTTCACTTCCTAGACAGTGATATTTTTCACCTGCTTGAAGAAATCCCTTCTCTGATTTATCAATCTCTCTTCTTTCATCTCCTGTGCAGCAGGCACCAGTGCTTCTCCTTGCTTGTCCTAAATCTCCCAGGCTCATTAGTCCTCTTCTCCGCCCTTGATCTTCATCTTCTTCACCTTTGTGATTGTCTTCCATGTGCTTTCTGATATCTGTGACTTTGTGAAAACCTTTTCCCTTAGCACTGCAGTACTTCTGCTTTCTTCTATGACCATCTCTGCATGATTCTCTAACCCTACAGTATTTCTTGTTATTGCTGTAAACTGCTCACCTTGTACTTTGCTTGCAGTCTGCCTCCATTGGCTTCTGAGGAATCAGACTATTTCTTTTGTCCTTTCCTGATCAAGATGCTCTATCTTTCCACCTTCCACTCCATGAGTCATCCTCCTTTTTTGTTCTCGGACACCTCTCTGACACATTGATCCCACAGCTTTACTAAGAGATAATTGATATCTCCCTCTTCCCATTTGGTGAAATCTAAGTGATCAAACTTCCCTGCTTTTCTCATCAGCTGTCTTTATCATGTGCAAGGAAGTTATTGTTCTTAGAACTATTTCCAAACTTACAAAATTATATTTGGAGAGTGATAGCATTGCATTAAGCTGAAGAAACAAATATGTTTCACAATTTCGTGTTACATTTGTTCATGCTTTTAGGGCTGCAGCTCTTTAGAAATGATGGTAGAATATGATTTGATTAGATTGTTCATACTCCCATCAAAAAAAAGCATTGCTCTAAGCTTTGAAGTTGGACATTTTTGCTTTACACACAGTAGTGGTCAGCATAAGCACTATTGAGGTGACGTTGCCCAGTCTGTATCTCAAGTCGTTTCAGCTCTTAACTCAGGACTAAAATGATGAATCAATCTCCATGTCTGCTCAATACCTTGACATCTTTCTTTAGAAAATGAATGTTAGCAATGGAATTTCTGAAAAACAAACATTTATGCACATCAATCTGATGGGCCAGTAATTATTTTTTTTAGATTTTGTAACAAGTGGGGGATACTTTATGGAACATAAACTCCCCTAACAAGATACAGAAAAGATATAATAATTCCATATTTCTGGCTGAAATATTTTCAGATGAGTTCTGTGAAGACACAAACAATAACAAGGACAACCATTCTCAGACAACCTCCTCTCCCACTGACTGATGCCAACAAGAGACTTTGCATTGGCTAGGATCGGGTCCCAGTTAGTTGGAAACAGCATGTGCATGCTTCAGCACTCAGGTGATGAAATGGTTTGTTAGCAGAGCACATGGTTTTGATTAGTGGCCTAATGAACTAATGCCTTAAATCAACAGGAAATGCAGCATCTGGTCAGCACTTCATTGCTTCCTTTAGCCCCAGACACATCTTACTATTGCCTCCAGCTCTCTTATGTTACCCCAGTGCACAAGAATGTTAAGGAAGTAGTTCTTTTGAAGAAAAAAAAAAGTAGATATTAATATATTAATTACAAGAAAGACAGGAAAACAAGTGTTGCTGGTTCCAATGTTCTATGGATCAAGTTTCTACCAAGTGAGACAAAAATCTTAGGCCTTCTCTAGTTTTCACCATCCAGTATTTTTTACAGTATGTTCTTTGAATAACTGACCAGAATTAATGATGTAAAACGTATTTATTCATTCATAAACAAATTTGTCTCTAGTAGATATTGAAGTACTTTATACTGATATTAATACTCTATATCACATTGGTTTTTACCAAGTTCCCTGATCCTTGCCCAAAATTCTCATTAATAGGGATTCCATATTTCCACACAGCTTGTCAGTTTGATTATCTAAGTACTTATTCAGTGTACTAAAGACCCTAATCACCCCTTCAAAGCATCCAGCTCTATATAAGGCCTCCAATGTCTGAAATACATAAGGATCATCATCATCATAATAGCATGGCAGCTGTGCTTCCTATAAGCCAGAAAAGTTGATCCTGTACACAACAGACACACCTCAGCTACTGTGTGCCATCTGCCTAGTTAGCAGTTAGACAGCCACCGCAGATAGAAACAGCTGCTCCTGACAATATGAAAAACATCAGTACTTCCTTAAAGGCTTTGGCAATGTGGATAAACAATTTCAGTGAAAAGAATATTTTAAATTGCTGCAAATTTTCGATGCAACTGCTATTATGCATCACACCACAACAAAGTGATTATGCTCAGTAGAATGGATTTTGTTCAGCGACTGTAAGAGTGTTGAGGGATTTTTTTGTTGTTCATGTTTCTTTTGGTTTTGCTTTTTTCCTCAGTTTTACAGAATACCAGTTAAAAAGGCGAAGAGACCATTTTGTCCTGGACTTCATGGCATACTACAATAATTTACTGTGATTTTTTTCTATTTCATTCTTTCAAGCAAAACAATTTTTACTTTGACAAGTTCACTGTGGTCCTCATCTTGAACTATTTATTTAGGCCATTTATGTAAAGACTGGATTTCTGAAAAACCTAAATACTGCGTCTGGTCTGCAGCAAAATTATGACCTATAATAAAGCAAAATAAAGAACTACTTACCATTGTGGGGATGGGAGAGTGTCTGGAAATGCAGAGAAACAGCACAATCCTTGATCTTGGCAGCTATGTGTTGCCAAAAGGTGGCTTTTACAGTTAGCAAACATTAAAATGCAACAGATGCATAGAAAGATGACAGGCTATAGAGGATGGGTGAATAGATGTGCACTACACACACACATACCTACACAGTTTTTCTCTTCTCCTTTGTTACTCCTCATAAATAAACAGAAAAGCTCTAGGTGTCTGACTCTGGAATGAAGCTGCTTATTCAAACTGGGGGCTCTGTGCCCCCTTTGGAGGTCAGCTGGTTGCAGGCAGGAGGAATGGAAGATAGAACAGCTCTCTCTCACCTGCCTAACCATGCATAAGAGAACAGGCATTGCATGGTGCCACCTCCTTCCTGTCTGAGTGCTCACAGTCTGGAGATGGAGTAGCAAATTACTATAAATAGGCACCAGCAGTGCAGAAGTCAGGCATGGAAAGGGTTAGCAGTACAGACTCCACCTCAGAAACTGATAGGGAAATAAAATCTATTTATAGAAAAAACCCAAAAGCTATCTGAAAACATAATGCAATTGCTGTCTTATATTTTGTATCTATTAAACTTTCTAGCTATCTCCAATAAGTGCAAGATTTATATTAGTTGTGAAAAGATCAGTAATGGGAAGCAAATTAATGAGAAACCTGCTGTCACATTACAGCATACATTTTTAGAGGAAGTTTTAAAATATTTGGACAAAATATCTATATATTTTTAAATGTGAATTTTTTAACTGGTAAATGTAATTATCTAACTCTAAAGCAAAAAATATAAAAGGACAAAAATGGATTTAATCAAAATATTCTGTCATTGCCATACATAAGCCACCAGAATATCTTTTCAACAAATGAAATTATTCTTTATTTTATGCTTTTAAAAATGCATTAGTGTAATTGCTCTGCAACAAATTACCTTCTATGCTATAAGCGTGGCTACAACATCCCTTGCATGTACATCAATTGTGCATATTGTCATGATGTTCTGATGATCACCAGGGGTGAGTTCCCCTAACAGCATGTTTATAAGGGCATTCAGTTGAGCAATCTGCAAAATAATTATATTTCAATGGAGATATTACACTGTGGGGAAAAAAACCTATTATATGTCAAGTGCTAAATGGAGCAGTTATAGAACCAAGACACATTTATTGGTGCTTTTAATCAAAGCAAATATCTTTTGCAAACTAATAATGGTGTTGTTTTCTTACAATTTTAATTTTACTCCTTAATAACAAAAATACACTTTTCTGCTGGTTCCCAGAACTTAATTTCAGAAAAGATAAATACTAATGTGATTCTGTACTTGAAATGCTAGTCTGTAAATGCACACGTGATAAAGTTACTCGATGTTTGAAGTATCACACGTATACTTTAAACCTCTGCTTCCAAACCAGTCACAATACACTTCATGTTTACTACAGGAAATTCAGGGCCTGGGGCGGGGAGGGAAACAACAACTCTTTGGGGCCCAATTGCCTTGATCATGATGACTTCTTTGTGTCAGAGGAACATGAAAAAGCAGGATCCCTGAACAGCTTCCTTCATCAGACTGCTGTGTAATTCCCCATCCTGACGGGAATGGTGACACCGAGGAGGTGGCTCAGAGTGCCTGTCTTCATAGCCCTAGAAGCCACTGGTAGCCACTATGAATTAGATTTATTCTCAGGCATCTGAACATCTTAATTTAAAAAGTGATGCTTCTGAATAAACACAAAGTATTTTTGGAATTTTTTGGAGGGGGGCGGAGGGAGGGACATCATAACAGTCAAAAAAATTACCAAAAAATTACGTTTGCTATGAAATAACAGTAAGCACATATATGCTTTTTAATGGCTGCAAGACAAATCTTTCTGACAGAGCCTGCCAAAGATATTAAGGCACTGATTTTTAAAAGCTGATTCATGAAGAATCCCACCTTTACACCAGGAGAATGTTTGCACTGATGAAAGAAACAAGATTTTAAACACACACATCCTTAGTAGATTGATACAGTGGCAAGTAGTGTAATTTTTCCTAGAAATCACTAGATTTTGCATTTAAATTTTATAAACCACTAAGGTTTCACAGATTGGACTTACACCATAAGACTTATGCCTTTGTTTAAAATTACCATTTTTATACATTTTGTGCATAACAGGTTCACAAAGCTATCTGTGATTGCAGACTTTCAGATGATTTCCAACTATTCTTCTATATCCTTGGAGATTTCAGCATCCTCCACACAGTCTCAATATCTATCACATCGTTTTAATCGATTTGATAGCTTATTTTCACGTGCTCTTGCAGCTACAATTATTGTTTTCTGCAAAAAAAGTTGAAGAGTTCCTTCTAAATTGACTATTATTCTACCTAGTGTAAATATTATTTCCTCTAACATCTTAAGGAATCAATTTATATGAAAATCATTTCTAAGTGTGAATAACATCACAGACTTTGTCGTGGTGCTTCTGACGATCTTCTTGCTAAACCTGTTTCCTGGCAAAATGCAAAACACACAGACCTGGAACCTGGGCAGGCCAGATGACTACAGCTCAGCACCCTGGAGGACAGAACAACCTCTGTCCTAACCCCAGGCTCTGAGCTACACGAGTTACACTATGAAAGACCTCAGTCCTGTAAAACACACTGTGATCTGCCTGCTCTGAACACAGGTTTCTTATGAATAAAACCTTTGGTGTTCTGCTCTTTTCACCCAGTCTCCTTTGACTAAAAAGCCCTACTTCACACCTTATGTGAATTTGCAGAGACAGATGAAAATAACTCATTTTTTATGCTTGCCTTCAATTGTGCCTTTCTCCTCAAGCTCTAACAATAGGATATCAAAGCTTGTGAATCCAAGAAAGAATTTAATGACAGTTTCCCTTAAATGGAACTCATAGAGTTCCCTCAAAGGAGAAAAGAGCTATAGAACAAAAAATGGGGTAAAAATCACCAAACTTCATTTTCTCCCAGTATACTGTTTATGCCATAACATGGCTCATACAGTCTGCAGTGTGCAGCACTGAATTAAGTTTTAGCTTGTTTCCTACCACTATGAAGAGAATGATTTTGGTGGCCTACATCCAAAGACACAGCAGTGGATCACTGTTCATATTACTCAGTGATTGCATATAATTTGGCATCACTGAAACAATTGTAGCTTTGAAAAGGTTGAGCTCTGGGCTATTATGAAGGCTAAATTAACTCTCATCACTTGAGTGAATGATCCATTCATACCAAGGTCAAAATCAGTAGTTGAGCAGCACAGGCAAGATGGCACTATAGCTGGCTGACCTGCAGTTGCATATGGACTTTATTATTCTCAGGCAACCTGAATACTACTGAAAACATTAAATTAGTTACTTACTATAGAAAAAATTAAAATCTTAGTGGAAAAAGTAAAATCCAACCTATCTGTCTTTCCCCTGCTCACTTTGCTCCTTGGGTTCAGACAGAAGTATGAGTGCTTTGAGAAAGCTGCTGAATTTGCTGAGGCAGAAATGAAAGTTCAGGAGGAAAACGAGGTGAGACTTTTCTTAGTTTCCTCCTGAAAACTATTAAACTAGCCTGTAGATCAGGCACTTGAGTGCACTAGCAAGACAAGAGAACAGACAAGAGAGGTTACACCAGGTGCTAAAGGGAAACTAGGGTCTCACAGAGAATACAATTTTCTTTTTCTTGAGAAAAAACAGTTGTGTTTTTTTTAATTTTTCTTTCCTTCTCTAACCCAAATTTGAGCACATCAAATATGAAATCTCCAAGGCATAGAATAGTCTGATCCTACTCTTTTTTTAATGAAAACTAGTAATTATAATAAAAAACTTTGTTTCAGAACAAAACTTTAAAAATAGTTTCTTGAAAAGACAAAATCTTTCAACTTTTCAGTTAATATTCATCTCCAACTTTTGAGTCAATATTAATATTGCATCCATCTGCACAGTCCTAAGTTAAGTTCTGATCCTCCATGGCTCACATTCTCCAGGCAGCCCGTATTTCAGATTGCATGTTGCTGTGTGCTGCACTACATCCCATTATTGGCAGCAGTGGCTGAACTACAGGAAGACAGCAAGGTGTGTCATGGGATACACAGCCCAGCAGAGACTCAAGTTCCACTGGGGAGGAGTGGGAAATAAAAATAACTAACTGCAGTTTCCAGTATAGGCCCAAGGGAATCAACAGCATGAACTGTGGAGCTGCTTGGTTACTGAGACTTCTGCCTTATGCCACACTACAGTAATGACTCAGTCAAAAGCAGCGGCTATTTTTGGTTGAAAATCTATAGCTTCATTTACTTTTCTTGAAAGGAAATTTACCCAAAGCATCATTTTCCCACAGAAAATGTTAATGTTTTTTGGGTTTCTTTCATTTGTTTGTTTGGTGTTTTTTTGAGGGGGAAAAAATTGACTAATTATTTTTGATTATTCAAACTTCTTGCTCCTCTTGGGAGCCTGGGCTGCATGTCAGGCAACTCTGTCTAAACCTCAGCACACAATTGTTCTAGTTCCTAAGCCTAGGTGGCTTTGGTTATGCTGGCTCCTCAAATTTACTAAATTATTTCATTTTCTGTGTCTGAGGATACTTTTAATTAGAAACATAAGTCTTTACATTCTGAGATTTCTAATTCAGCTTCAACAACAATCTTTCCATCATCTTTACATAAAATTACACTTCAGTGAGCCTCAAGGGGAGATAAACAAGAATACAGACAATAACCATGCTTTGTACAATTTGCAAATGGTTCTGGGCTAACAGAACAGACAACAAAGATATCCATTTTCCCTGGAGTTCTCCTCAATGCTGTCTAATTGGCTGTGACCTCAGGATCCACTGAGCTTCTCCTATTAGATGTAACAAATAATGTGGTGTGAACAGGGAGTCTAAGGTCTGTAGAATTAGTTGTTTCAGTCTTTCAATTCAGCAGAATATCAGGTAAGGAAATGCACTACTCAATCTGACACGTTCTTCACAAAACACAGGGCACTGAAGAATACATATAACCACTGTTTATACTGCCAGATTCTTATTGTCACCAAATCTTAGGTAACATTGTCAAATAACTTAAGTACTTTATAATCTGTTGATAGATATTGAAGTAACCTACAGTCAGAATAATTTTCATTTGGCTAAAAACAGTGACTAAAGAACACAACAACCTAGGATCAAAAGTTTCTTTGCTCTGAATGGTTACCCTCAAAAATTATTTTCAGTAAAACAACAGCAGAGAGAAAGTGGCATCACAGAGAAGCGGGACTCCCATCTTCTCATGTGTTAGAAACATTGGTTTACATTGAAGGAAATGAAACCAAAGCAAAAAACAATGAATGCAGTCAAACAGAGCCAAGTCATTCTTCTTTTTCTATACTGCAATCTTGCTATATAATCTTATTCACTAAAGAGGTGTTTTACATCATCAGAGGAAAGATGTAAAAATGAAAAGTATTTCCATTGTTTTAAGGTCATTGTCATTGGTATTTTTAAAGCATCATAAGCCTGAAGTTCTAACCTGCAAAACAGCACCAGAGAAATTCCTGTTTTGCTGAAATACAGGTTAAACCATTTGAGTACATAGACACATCCAGTCACCCATCAAAATAAGGAACAGTTGCTTCTGTCTGTTACGTGCACATCTGAAGCATGCACATAACAGAATTACTTTGTTGATAAATGATTCACCAGTGAGGACATTTTCTCCAGATGGATTCATATTATTTTAATCACGATATTTTCCAACTCATTCATGCAAAATATTTTTGGTCTGCCAATTTCTAAGAAGTTCCTTGAACATTACCTTTTCTTGATAAGATATTAAGGTTATAAACAGGATTTTAAATTAACTCATTGCACTGGTGACAGCAAACTTGTAATTAAGAAATGAGTGTTTGTTTCCAAGAAGGGCTCAACCAACATCAAGAGCTCTGGCCAGGATTTAGACGATTTGCTTTCACAAAAGTTCTGAAGATGTAATTTA